GCAGTTGCAACAAGCGGTGTTTGTCAAACCAAGAACACAAAGATCACATTTGTGGTCTTGGCATGAGCGGTCTTGTTAACTTGCCTGCCAAGAGCAAACTTGGGACGCAATGCATCGTGGGATTTGTCTTGTTTGGCGAGGATGCAATCGATGCATCCTTGATATTTGGGGATATTTGGCAAGAACATCTGGGCATTTTTACCATCCTCTGTATTTCTGTTCTTGAGTACTGGAATTGGTCTGTGGCAATGGAAGATGATGTGACATGGGTGATTCTGGCCATAGAGTTAAAAAAACATAGTCATATATAACCAGGGGTGCACATTTGCGCTGCTATGACAAGAAAATACCTTGCATTTTAACCCGTATAACGCAAATGAACCTGAGTTAGCATATAAAGATTAAAACACATCATATTTTGTTTTCATAGCCGATTGGTTACGGTTATATACAGGGGTGCATATAACTGGTACGTAAGTACGCATTCATCTTTAAGAACGATACGTGAAACAATCAATTGTTTGTAAAAGCGCAAATGTGTACTTATTTTATGTGCATTTGCGGTTTTACAAACAATCGATTGTCTCACATATCGTTCTTAAAGGTGAATGCATACTTGCGTACCAGTTATGTGCACCCCTGTATATAACCATAATTTCTCAATTAATAATTTTAATCAAGCCCCAGTTCTGTGTGTGGGGAGTCTGTATATTCTCTCCATGTTTGTGCGGGGTACCTCTGAATCCTCCATTTCCCTACTGCGCTTCAAAGACATGCTAGGTGAACTGTTGCCTCTAGATTGCCTATAGTGTGTGATAGTGCCCGCTGTGATGGACTGGTATCCCATTCAGGGTGTCTAGTGTACACCGGGCTCACTACAACCCTGTAATGCATAATAAGCCATGGAAGATAGAAAAGTGGATCGATGTGCAACTCCCATAGTTACCCAGATTTCTAATAACTACATCTATCCTGTCTGGAGATCAGATAAAGACTGACACTAATTTGCAAAGCTTTCTAATCAACTGATTTCCTTGTTAAGGAAATAAGTTTCTTTAATTGCATTAGGTACTGTTCATATGAATAACTCTTTAGTTCTGTAAATGATCCATGCATGACATATAGGCAGAGATATTAAGCAATAATTTGGGGCATAGAGTCCTTCTAGAAAGTTCTAGGTGAACTTTGGTGCAAAGAGTTTGGATCATTTATGGAATAATACCATTATTACTTTGAATGTATCAGTTTATAATAATTCATCTGTACATTTGCTTTCAACTGGGCCTCTGTTGGCTGAGCTTATTAGTTCCAACATTCAAAAGCATAAATATGGGTGATATGAAGAGAAATGTAAAATATCCACTAAAATAATAAAAAACAGCTTTGTTTGAAATACTGGTTACAGGCTATTTCATCAGCCATTGTAGATGAAAAAGGCAGGAACGACCACAATGAGCTCAGTCATACAGTATTCATGAGGTGGCATTTTAAAAACTGCGCAAGTGAAAATTTCAGGAACATTTTCCTCAAATTTAAGCGAAAACCTGTCAGATTTACTATAGCTCTTATACACCTCCACCAACAACTGATTAGTGAGGTCGTTCAACTTCATTCCCAGTCAGCAAAATAAATAAAGAACCAAAATATAAATGAGAGACTTTTGATGTGCTGCAACACTTAGTTGGAAGTATTGAAGCCCACCCCCTTGTTTTTGCTATTTATAAAGTCCATGCACTGCTTGTTGCTATTTATAAATAGGTCAGAATTGGAGAAGGTACTGTATAGACAAACAGCCTGTAACAGTGGAGAGAAACATTTGAAAACTTCTATGGTGTGACTTCAATAAGCTGTTTGCATACCTCAGGTCCTACTTAAGCCAGTTAAACATACAGTATCTTTTTTTGAGATCACTGATTATTATGACTTTTACGCAGGAACAAGGAGGGGACAAAGACGATGACAATTTGTAAACATATCATGAATGCACACCGGAGACAGTAAATGAATAATAACATTAAGAAATGCAAGAGCAATTTCAGATGAACACCAAGACAGCTCACGATAACATTGGCAAAGGTGATTCCAGGCATTTGGAAGACAAAAGTAGCATTGTTTATTTGATTCACTGTCCTGATGCTTGCAGTTATGGCTGTGGGTCACCTTCTGAATGATGCTGTGTTGGGAGATGTTTTGAGTAGATATTAATATAAAGTTTAAAACCTCATGATTAGTGGTTTTCATTAAGTCCCCACCGAAGCATGTTTATGATGTGATCACTTAGTACACTCCGTTATTTTCATTGGGTCTTACTCAATATGCATAGTTGACCATTCATGTGTTCTCATGTACCCATTTGATGTCATCTTCCATTGCTGAAGTACAGTTCCAATACTCAAGAACAGAAATATGGAGCATGGTAAAATTCCATTAATGTTGTATTTGCCTCATCATAAATATCAAGGATGCGTTAGTTGCATCCACTCCACGGAGGACCATCCCCTGATTCATTGCATCCCAAATGGAAGGCAAGTTAGCAAGAATACTCTTGTCAAGTATGTTCTTTGTATTCTTGGTAGTGATAAACACCCATTGATTCTCCACCAAAGCATGCTTATGACATCATCACTGAATAAACTCCATCATTTTCATTGAATTCCCACTGAAGCATGCTTATGATGTCATCACTGAATAAACTCCTTTATTTTCATTGAATTCCCACTGAAGCATGCTTATGATGTCATCACTGAATAAATGCCATCATTTTCATTGAATTCCCACCAAAGCATGCTCATGTATTTTAATAAGTGCTTTTAAGAATACTTCTAGCATCCTGTCATTTTCATTATCCACCTTCCAACCACCTTTTCTAGTCAGGGTCACTGGACATTTTTGTTATGTACTCATTAAATATGTATTTGAATAGTTAATATCCCTTGTCTTGTGCCCTATGCTCTAAACTTCATAACAACCCTATAGTTGGTAAGTTCTTGCAACCACTGTCTAGAATGGTCTGTACAATGTCATCTCAAATTATAGCCCTCATTTTTATGAAGCCTTTTGTAAAGAAGCAACACACTTTCCACAGCTTCCACTGCACAGACAGCACAGCAACGGTGCTTGTGAGAAAATCGATGTACTAAATGAACTCTACTGTAGTATAAGGGGGAAAAGAAAAAATGTCATCAAGAGAGGCACTGGAGAAACTCCAGGAAGTATATCTAATGTGACATGGAGGGGGTCTGTGTCAGGAAGCGGCAGGCTGGCATGTGGGTGATCAGCATGTCGGACGGCACCAGACAGGTCAGCGATCCGTCCCAATTACAGACGCCTGCCGGCGGATACCTCGTTAACGGTGGAGAGGGAGAAGCACCTGGTGAATTGCCAGCGGTTGAGGCCGAGACAGTGAAGTAAGGAAAATCAGACCCTCATACGTCATTGGACAAGAGGAGCAGAAGCAGCCCTAATTCCAAAATTCCAAATTCCCAAACCTGCAGTAGAAGCTTAATGTTATGCATTTAAGTCAGAGGAACTTTTTTTTAGTCAACCAAGACTGAATTCCTGCTTTCAAATCACTCATAAGCGATTCCTTACAGTTTCATTGTTTTACTACCCTGGTTCAAGTGCTGGACTATATTATTTCTTTCTGTGATTTACTTCAGAGGACTCCCATGTGTTTTCTGTTAGTAAATTAAGTTCTCGTCCCCAAAACCAGATGTGCTCAATCCTTCCTTGTCCAGCTGGTCACATGGCTCTAAAAAAAAACAGTAAAAAAGTGCAGAAAGGGCCATATTCACAGGACTAGAGCAGCTTTCAACAAAGATTCATTTTAACAAGAACTAAATCGACCACCAAAATGTGCCATTTATAAATGAATCCCCACCTGAGCAGTACACTGGTGTTAAAAATATTGTTTCTCAACCCAGTGCTTAGGGACTCCCAAACAGTGCACATTTTTGCTCCCTGGTACAGGTGTGCTGAGAGCTGGGAGGGAGCAAAAATGTGAACAGTGGGGATATCTGAGGACTGGGTTGAGCACCACTGACTAAAACTGATAAAATTCTACATGCATGTTTCACATACTCAAATATTGCGATAATTTATCTGATACCTTTAGCTAAAGTCTCACAAATCAGCTGAATCAGGCATTAATATTCATAAGAAGGTTACACAGACAGGGTTGTTACAAGTTTGAATGTCACAGTGAAAATGTTTCACCCAGAATGGCCCAACACAACAAAGATTAAGAGGAATGTTGTTTTGACAGTGAATCTGAGATTATTGTTATGTTCCCAAATATCGGCAAAATGTATACTCCCACGCTTACATTATTTCTCTTCCAGATTCTATGAATTTTCTTTGCATTTTTAAAATAACCTAAATTTAGGAATTAACTCAATGTAAGGGAACTGAAATGTAAGTAAAGCTGTAATTACTGTAAATCAGTTTAGGGGGATTGTTTTTCTTTTTGCAGCTATAAAGTAAAGCAAACCCAAAATCACCACAGATGTCTTCTCTGACCTCATCTGAACTCAGCTAATTTTCTTTGTCCGAAAAGAAAATCACCACCATTTCAATCCAACACTTTATTAATGTCATTGCCTGCCACCCTGTTTCTATTTCATCATGACTTGTAACATTTCTCAAACACAGTGGGAAATAAAACAAATTTGGCACTGTATAAATTACACCTAAACTGTAAATTCAGTGGCACAGCACTGCATGAAGTAAGCAAGGCATGGTTTACAAATAGTGCTTGCTACGAATTGATATAAAGCACACTGTGTTTGTTTCTCTATTGATAACATTAATATATAGGCCTAAACATCTTATTTGTTTTTATTGCTAAAGAAAAGAAAAAATAGACACCTATTTTAAAAAGTTATTTTAAAGTTTTTTAAAGTAGTGTGTAATATCCATCTGTAAAAACAAACATAATAGTTAAAAACAGAAAACTAATACAAAACATATACAAAAGAGTTTAAAAAAAAAAAGTTGTCTTGTTATAGATGGATAACGACATTTAAAATGTAACTCTAAAATAAAATCTTTTAACTAAAAAGTCATATATGCCTAGATAATTGTGTTAAATATTTCATGTAACCTCATTTTATGATATGACATAATAATGTAACTCTGGGGTTTCAGTTGTGAGAAATGAAGTCACCTGTGACAAAGTGTAACTGTGCAAATGATTTTTTAGATGTAGACTTTGATGAGCTTTGAATCAATAGATATCAGGGTTACGTTTGTCTGCCCTGGAGTAGGATGTGTGACCACAGCACTCAGCTCAGCTCAGCTAGATTCATAAAAGCATTTGATCAAAGGTCTTTCAGGATTTCATGTAAGCCTCCACCTTCAGAATGCAGCCAGCGATCTGTCGGAAACAAAAAAAGTTGTCCAATTTGCGTCTGTATAACCTTAAGGAATTAAGTCTATTTAATAACGAAATTAGATACGGTTTACTGATTTCTCTGTTTTCTCATTTCCTTTTCAAAACTGGAGCGTGAAGTATAACAATCATCCTAATTTGCAAGTAAAATGCAATGATTACGTACCATATTTAATAAATGAAGTAATTAGGAATTAACATATGGTGGATACAGTTCCAAAAAAATGCTGGTTTCTTCCTCCAGAATTCCATGGGGACAAATCCAAAATGAAGAGGTGCCGTGGTCTGCTGGGGTCACACGCAGGGCGGCGCTTAAGGAGCTCCACTGGCAGCCAGCAGGAGTAACCACCTCCGCCTCCCCTCCATCCTCGGATTTACTGTGTGCTTTGGCTGGATTTCTTAACAGTCTCCTGAAATTCTATATATAAACTCAGTAAACTCTGCGAGATGAAAAAGAAGAATTATCTTCTTAACCCTTAGCTGTGGTATTGCCATTTCAAACATAGGCTACAGCTCCTGAAAGCTGTAAAAAAAATGTAATACTGCAACATTTTAAACTGAACACATACTGGGGAGTAACATACCACCTCCACCACCTTCTGCTGGTTGGGGTCACAGGAGCATTGGGTAACAATGGTAACAAAATGTAACCATAACATGTCATTCCATTAATGCTTTTTTAAGGGTTTGTGTCAAGATGAGATAACGTCTTTGTACTCTGATCTCAGTCAAGGAGAAGCTGGTGAAGTACCGTACATCAGCCAATCCCATTGACAGAAGTCCCAGTGAGGAGTCTTTTAGTTGTTGCTATCATTGTCAAATTAGAATGCAAAGTTTATTGTCAGCCAGAAGTTTCCAGAAAAAAAAAAAATTATAATAAATTACTTATTCCATGGAGGCTGCTGGCCAATTAAGGCCTTCTGGGGCCACACGTATCTTGAAGGTGTGACATTTTGAATATGTTTCCGCCTCCAGATTACCCCAAACAAATCTTCAGAGATGTAAATTTAGCACAAAGCAAACCATAATTTTTTTATTTTCCCCTCTGTATAATGTCTTCCTCCCTTTATTCTATGCCTGTGAAAACTGATTTTTAAGTTCCAGTTGTGTAGTTGCTTTGACATTTTAGATGGGTGAACTATAAAGTAGCTCTTATAATTACCAGTGTATATTGCTCTCGTGCATATGGAATTAGGAGTGATGACCGGGGGGGGGGGGGATTCTACAGGATGACCCCCCTACTCCCGACATTAAATTTGCCAAGTAGGGTCCCTACCATAAAGCTTACGGAAAGAAGGGGGGGGGGGCGAGGGTGGAGGAGCAATGAAATTATGAAATGTTCACAAAAATTCAGGACAAATTGTAATGGTTCTAGAAGAAAATTAGAAAGAAATTAAGGGATGTTGAGACAAAAAATAGGGGGCTTAAGCCCAACTAAATAGGATCTATGGTGATATTCCTGCACGTAAAATTTATTTTTTTTAATTATATTACTACGCATAAGGTTATTGTATCCATTTCTGATTTAATATGACTGCTCTTAGGAATGAGGGCAACATACCAGACCTGCAGTCAAATCCCAGGTTCGCTTTTGCTTGTCCTTCCCACGCTGCAGCTCTTTCGTCTGGTTACTCCCGTCTCCTCCAGTGGTCCAAAGCCGTATGATTAGCTGAACAGGTGACTCTAAATTGCCCATAGTACGTGTGTGTATGTGTGATCTGTGACAGACTGACTTCCTTTCCAAGGTGCCCTGTGCTTCCTGAAAGTCTCACCACAACAAAGATTATGGAAGAATGTGATTGATTATGGAAGAATATTAATGCTTTGTATTGCCTGCTCCTGATTGGTAACATTTCTCCACAGTTCTCATAGCCATATATAAAATATATTTTGCCCCTTTTAATATAAAAGCATCTCCATAAATGATGCAATTTTGCTCCGTCATGTTAAGCCAGCATGGAGAGTGACACTTCGGCATGGGTAGTGACAGCTGTCGCCTCCAGGGAACCTGTTCCAGCATCCAGCCTTTCCCCGGCTTCTCTGGACGCATCGCTGACAAATGGCCCATGTGCTGCAGTGTGCTGGCCCTTGTCTGTCCTTTCTGATGCAGCGAGGGACTCTGGAGTCGTTACAGATTCCCAGGCTTGTCGTTCTCCTCCCTCTCCATGTCCAATCTGGATGTTCCTGACATCCAGGTGTACTGCTACAGACTTTGGGCACCATGAAGGCATATCAAATCTATCCCCCAACCAGACCAATCCAATTATATTCCAAATTCTTTATGGCGCTTGGAATCCACCCCCCCCCCCCTTTATGAAACCACTGCTGACAACGTCTTAGATTTGATGCGTATTTTCTAAGTGATGAGCTAATCATGAATCTGCTCTGCCTTTCTTATAGGGAATTTATAACCAGTTCAAATCAGGTGAGGAATGATTCCCGATTAGCTAACATACTATTGTGCTTAATTCGGTAAAATGCAGAGTGATCCATTTCTTTATGTGGAAGATTGGTTATGTGTAGGATGCTGTTTTCCGCTTGGATGAAGGCTTCCTATGTGTGGGAGTGGGAAATAAAGATCTCCCTCGGCCACAGTAACGCAGTGATGGATGATGTGATGACTCTGTTTTCCATTTGGACTTATCCAGTTGCATGAGTTCATCCGAGTGAAATCTGTTTTGCGAAAAGTGAGATATACACCAGGAGAGTAATTAATATGGTTATCAAAATCTGTTCTGCGCCTTTTTGCTTAGGATGCATTTTCGATTAAACTGAGGGAAAAGTGGATTTATTTTTTCTTTTTCATCTCCTGCCTGAATTAAATGGGATCAAAAATTTAAATAACATTATCTTCCCTTCCCTGGTCATTAATGGCGCTGTTTCAGTTCAACAGCCTGTGATCAAGCTCATTGGAATTACAGTCTAATTACGGATTACTAAAATATCACAGTTTTACATCAATATTTGTCCTGTGCTAGTTAGAAAAAGCAGAAGAACAAAGGTCAATGTGTCCCCGTGTTCAGGGCTGGTCTCTCCATAATGTCAGCACCGCCTTTAAATAGGATTGGTTACCACAAACAAAGTCTTATTATGAGTCTAGCCACCCACAACTATATATAATATTATCGTCCTCGGAGATGACACCATACTCATGTATGAGTGTTATAAAATACAATCCGTGCAAAAATTTATTCCTAATAAAAAAATAATGGATGGTTTAAGTGTTCAACTGAAGGACTTAATGTTCTTCAAGGGCACTAGCCTTTCTTAATTCTTTATTCTCCTGCGGTGCATATTATCTTCCCCAAGGACAAAAACAGATCAGAAATCCGATCAGTGCATGTAGTCTCATCACCATGAACCGTATGAGTAAATAACTGGCATGGGAAGGGGGGGTGGGGTATCCCAGCCAATGGAATGAAGTGATCTTGGACGTACTTTTTTGAGATTTTCTCATAGGCTCTCACACAGCATCCCCGGCTCCATGTCTCCACAGTATAATTACTATGTATGTCAAACTATGATTTTATACAGTATTGCAGTCAAATCACTCAGTGTGAGGTCTATACTCACACTTCTACGACAAGAAATTTCACCTGCTGCTGGCCCCAGAAGGCATTGTTGTGATGAAGGTGTGACTCTTACAAACTAAGCTGATTTACATAAAGAGCCAATTTGCTTTTCTTTTGTGGAAGGTGTAATCCTTACAGTCGCATGAAGGTTAACTTAAAATGTTACCTCATTATGAACTAGCAAGCCACTGAAATGGAAATGTAGACTATTTTAATGGCTGCTGTGAACCTCTTTGGAAAGGCCTTGTTGCTATGGTCTGCTTTACAATCCTTCGTCAGGCATTCTAGGAATGTCTACATGCAGTTATCAATATATTTTGAGCAACAACAGTAGTAATAACAATGTAAGATGGGATTCTTTGTAAAGGATGTTGAACTGACTCCTGAACTGAAAAACAAGGTTTAGTATTAATTAGTAATAAATCGTTCCAGCTGTCACACCTCATTTGGCAAGACAATTACTTGCCTTTTCATTTTTTCCCCTTCACGTAAAGAACGATACAGCAAAATTATGCAGCAAAGTAAACACTGTGAGTGTTGATGGGAAACAAATCATGCATCTCAGGGTTTCACCTAAGAATAACTATCATGAGTCTAGACCTGAAAAGGAGTCACTGACAGACACATCATTCAGAACGTCCACGGGCTGACTGGCACATCGTGGGAAGGGGATTATGTAACACTGCAGCACTAGATTATATCATTATGTTGCGGGGGGAGAGAGAGAGAGTACAAAAGATACTCTGTTCACAAGACAAATTATAGCTTTTTGGGCTGTAAAGTTCCAAAGGCAGCTTGTAAAGGTTTGAAAAAAATATAAAAATATATTTAAATGATGTCTATTTAGAATAGAGCTTGCTCTCCATATACAGATGACTAAAGATGGGGTCAGAGCGCAGGGTCAATATTTTAGAAAAGAAACATTATCCGTACATCTTACAAATTGTAGGCACACACCATAGAATGTCATCGTGGTAAAGACTTTCAAAATGATTTTGAGAGAACCTTGATATCATGAACAATAACATGGACAGTCTTTAAAAAATATTCATGAAGGTTTAATATACTGAGTTTGATGTGGTGATGTAAACGAACTGCAAATGATTTACATAATGTTTGAAATAAGGGCAACGGGCTTGATGGTTAAAACAATATGGTGACTGTCAGTAATACAGAAATGTCTAATGAAACGTTCAGAAGTGGGAAGTCAGCAATCATTGTGTGTGACTGGTGTACGTCTTACACTAAAACTGTCCGGGAGTAATCATAAAAGAATCATAAAAGGCGACAGCAAAAATGAGAACACATTTGTTCTTGGGAGAGCGCTGTACTTCAGTTTCATAGCAATGATGATTATAGAATTTGAGGTTTCAATACAGTTTTCCTAGATTTTGAGAATGTTTTATAGTTCTGACAAATAAATCCCCACAGCACAGTACTTTTATAATGCAAAAAACATCCATACTTACCTGCTACACTTCAACGCAAATTTGATATTATTTATTGGCATCAGGTTGCTGACAAAGTGTAAGTTTTATACTGCATAATTGTGCCACTCGCGCCAGTGTGAGCTCTGCCATGCTCTGCACTGTCCTGCAGTGACTCAACGAGAACCCTGACTGCGGATCCGAACACGCAGATTTGTGGGTGGAAGCGTAGCCCTATAAGCACTGCACCAGTGGCTCGACTCGTCATTTACAATTTCATTTTAACCGACTGTGAGTCTCCAGCAGGTGGGGAGGCAGAGAGAACCAGGCGACAGGAGGATGGAAGGGAGGAAGGGAAGGGTTCAACAAAACAGTGCGGAGGACGGAAAACAACCTAACAGCTATCTGGCTTTCAGGTCTTGGGGAAGAGCTACAATAGGGCATGAGGTTGAACAGAGGGGTCTGCTCATGTGATCTGGCAACAGAGAGAAAACAACAAAACCCAGCCATAAAAGATCAATAATAAAGCACAGATGATGCGAATTAATGGACTTACCAACCGGAAGTCACCCCTCCCCAGGACTCCTCAATCCCCTCCCTCATCTTACACTGGCATAATAAACTGTCTGTACAAGTAAATTACATTCACTGAAAGTTCAAATCAACCACAGTTTTAAATGATACATGACCTTCAAATATAAACATTTTCTGTTTTTCTTTTTTTTTGAAAAACATTTTTTTTCGGCCTGTTATAAAGCCTCAGATGCGTATTTTGAACTGTACCCGTTAACCTCAGAATATAAAACTGCTAATGAAGACCTGTGACTTTTTTTTTTTCTCGTCGGACCAAAAACCAAATGCACGAGAGCTTTCACATCTCATTTACCAGGACGCCATTCAGAATCGATCAGGCGCACCCTTTTGAAAAGTAATCACACCCCAGGATGGTATGAAATAGACCACCACCATCTCCGGAGAGTGTGAAGCACATGAAGGAGGCTCCTTTGTAAAGCGACCAATAGGCTAATAGAATTACAGCATGTGATCGATAGCTACAGATGTAACACATACTGTGAAAGAAAGAAATGTATTGATATGTTTCCGTACGCTCAGTCCATTAACCCCAATGGTCATCCTGGGGGAAGAGAGCCCAATCGATATATCTTTGTGCTGTCTCGTCACTGCTGCAGTTAGCAAGGCTTCGGAATATCACATGATGAAAGCATTCCAGCTGTTTCAGAAAAAAATTATTTATGCAAGTAGCAGAAAACTCCAGAACCTTTACCTTCCAGAACACCCAGAGCAATTTACTTTGTAGATTGTTGTCTGTTAACTTTCTTTAAACTGTGCGGAGTCGTGCTTCTTTTTTCTGGCCTATTGCAATTAGCCCACCGCCACTGTCAGCGCCAGCTCTGAGATGCTAACGTAGCTCTGAGATGCTAACGTAGCTCTGAGATGCTAACGTAGCTCTGAGATGCTAACGTAACTTGGCAGCAGCTGCTGTTAATCCTTGCCCAACTTGTGAATTTTTCCATTTATTCTTACACTTCAAATTTTTTAAATTTTTTTATTTTCAGGTCTTGAGTTTTATTGTCACGTGTTTGGAGGAACACAGTGAAATGCTTGTGCAGCGGTTGAGAGCGAAGGGAGGACGGGATAATCAACGCTGCAGTACAAGATAAACAAGGGCACTAACGCAAGGAACAAGATCCGCATACCCAGGCGGGAGGGGAGGTTGAGCGCAATCACTGCTAGGACTCGTACACATGACCTCCTGTTTAATACGGGGGACATTCCAAGCAGCTAAGCCACAGTGCCACCACGCAGGACACCACAGATGTTTATACAAAGGTTTGTGTTTATAAAAATACCTGCAACACTTAACTAACATTGTAATTGAATGGGGTGGTGAGTGGCTCACTGACTAATCACCTGAGACCAGAAGGTCAGCAGTCAAATCCCCAGCCTCAGCAGAATAGTCACATGTCCATGGGTCCTTGAGCAAGGCCCTTAAACCGCCAGTTCAGAAAGAGATACTTTCTAGTCTGTGTGCTAATGAAAAATAAAGCATCATTTCATTAACAATACATTCCTACCAAAAAGTACAGCCAGACTTTGCATTCAGAACAGCTTCAATTCTTCTTGAAATGCTGATACACAAACGGTGTTTAGTGGGATACTGGACAATTCTTCACGAAAAAGCCTCCAGTTCTTTGAGGGATGAAGAAGGTGGAAATCTATTTCACACTCTGTGATCCAGAACATCCCCTAAAAATTCAGTGATGCTTAGATCTATTGATTGGGGAGGCCATTGGGGGCATTTGACTTCATCCTGTTCATGAAACTACTCTTGAATTTGCTTAGCAGTGTCTATAGGGGCATTATCATCTGAAAAATATGGGATAGTCGTAAGGTAACAGTAAACCCATCCAGACGCATGAAAAAGGATAAAAAATGGCTCATCAGACCATATTTCTTATTTCTGTTGTCAGGTAAGTTCTGTGGTAAATTTTTGAGGTTCTAGCTTGTGCTGTTTAGCAAATATCCTATTAAGCATCTCTCCCTGTAGATGAGCTTCGACCTGAGGGCACTCTTCCATATTCTCTGGGCAGTTTGTCCGTGGCTGGCATACGCCACCATGATTTTCGAGAGTGTTTCTGTGACGCCCGGCTCGTCCGATCCTCGTGTGTGCCACGCCCCCCTCGTTACCTCGTGTTACTTCCTGATTGTATTCACCTGTCGCTTGTTTGTCAGTCTGTTTTGTGTATATTAGTCCACGTCTGCCTTTGTTTCCCAGATCCGTCATTGTTGTTTGTCGCGTTGTGCTGTTCTTTCGTGTTAACCCAGAATAAACCCTGTTTATTCATATTTCCGGCTACGTTCGCCTGTTTCCCCGTTCGCCTCGCATTCCCTTGACTAGTAGTTTTTCAGTTTCTGTGACAGATATCCCTGAAATTCAGACTGACTACTTGACCAACACATGGCTACATAGTTACTTTCTGCAGTTTATTGCATGTGTCAATAAAGCCGTTTTATTTATTTATTTATTTGTGTTTGTTTATCTGCAGCCTGTGAAAGTGGACTCATTAAAGTCAGGCAATATTTCCAAACAGATGCCGATATGCTCAGCTCCTCCCTCACTCTGAACTTCAAGCTCAATCCTCAAAAGGCCCTAAAAATATTTAAGTGCTTCATTAAGTCACAGTGTGAGAATTTAAGGTCTCAAATATTCTCACATCATATAGCTAAAACACTTTTTTTCTTTTTTTTGATCAATAAAAAAACTAAGCTATATTTTTTTCTAGGTTCATTATTATCCAAGAGTTTCAGTGCTTAGAATCAGCTGACATCCAACCTATTTGACATTTGAAATATTACTTGTTTTGCGAAAGGCTGATATTTTTAAGTATAGACGGGCAGTGCTGATTTGTTTCCTAAAGGGCCGTCGAGCCTTGTCTCCTTACTAGATGTGCCAGTGCGTAATGAGAGTGAGACCCGCACAGTGCTCTGCAGTGATTATTAATGCACTGCCTGTGCAATGCACTGCTGGCGGGCAGGAAGCATGTCTTTCGCCCTCAATTTCCAATGTGCAGGTTGAATTCCGATTCAGCTTCAAAGTCGGCTTTCTCTGCAGCACAGAATGAAGTTCTAATGGTGCCATTGAATACGTTTATTTATTATTTTTCCACTGTGTTTGTATTTTTAGTGTTTGGTATTACAATGCTGGTCTCTCTAATGAATGTGGGTGCATGCATCAGTACTGTTTTTATTCGGGGACATCGGTATCATTAATGCGCTTGCATTTCGGATTTAGGTGTCTGTAATGTGTTTATGCTTGTGGATGGTGGCATGTCTAATGCACTTGTTTTTGGGCATGTAGGAATCTCTAACGTGTTTGTACTCTGCCTTGTAGGTGTAGCCACTTTATATTTGAGGATATATGTCCCTCTAATACATTTGTATTGAAGCATGTAATTATCTATAATGTGCTTGTTATTGGGGCTGTATAAATCTATAATGTGCTTGCATGTTAGGTTTTCGGTGTCTCTAATCTGTTGACATCCAAGAATGTTTTGGTGATTTGGTGTGCCACTGTACAAAGCTCTTTGGTGACCCTATCGCATGGTTTGAGGCCAAAATAAAATCAATCCTCCATAAACTGCCAGGTTCCCTCCCAATAAACCTGTACGAGGTGTTGGGGGAAATTCCTGTGGATTTTCTTCTTTCTGGGTTCCTAAAATCTCAGATCGAAAGTGGAACTATGTGCTTCCTTACTGCCCCTAGGGCAGGTTTCAGCAGAGTGTGTTAAAATCTGAGCCAGATCTTTACTGGTGGTTTAAACTTCATGAAGCCAGTTCTAAGTCTTCAAGGTACCAAAGGCCCAGCAGGCTATAAACATGTCAGATAGCTGCGGAATAATTGATTTGCAAGCCCAGGTGGAGAGCTGCAAGTGATTATAGACTTATAGAAAATATGCGTTACACCATATTTTGAGGTTCTGAGAAACAGACCCAAAATTAAGCTGATTACTTTTCAAAATCACATTAGCTAATATTTTACTTCAATTTTCAGCACATACGTTAAATATGGCCCTGTTTGCACTTAGCACTTTGCACTATAACATGCATCTTGGGTGATTGGATCACAAGTGAACAGAACTAAATACATGTGCAAGACATGGGTGTAAAAGGTGATGTGTCGCGACTACACTTGAGATCTGATTGCCCAAGACACTTTAAAACTAAAATATTAACAGGGCCATTGTGATTGAAAAGGAGATACAGTAATGTATGTTTTCCAGTCAAAACTCCGATTAATATTTACACATCATGACTCCTATTAAAACTGATATAATGAAATTCCAAACATCATTCTTGGAGGATATTTTAGACAATGGGGAAAGCAGCCATGTGACATGGGATTATGCAGGAAAGGCGTCATTTCTGACTGAATATGACAGGGATATGGCAGTTACATGTATGAGGTAGCCCTCGGGGGGCAGTTATAGGTTTGGGGCGGCCATCGGGGGGCAGTTACATGTATGGGGTGGCCATCAGGAGGCAGTTATATGTATGGGGTGGCCATC